GCACTCTGATTCCACCTTGTTTCTAGGGATCCTACAAGCCCTACCTAGGTCAATCTGAGATTGTCTTTCTGATAGGCCTTAGCACCTAGAATTCTCTTCCCCTTAAGATCTGTATCAGCCCGTCCCTCCCCACCGAAAACTTCCCCTTCCAAAGTCGGTCTTATTTATTGTCTCACAGTAGTGATACAAACAGGAATTGGGGAACCGTTGCATTAGGTGAGATACATACCAAAAACAAAAAGTCCCTGCCTCTAAAAGCGTATGGTTTAAATAGATCACATAAGTATAATAATTGTTAGCCTCTTACTTACATTCTCTCTCCTCTCTGATGTCTTAGGTTTGAGGCTGGATTTTTTCCCCTCTCCCTCCCCCCATTTTTTTCTCTATAGTAGTTATCTGCCCCCCCTTTGATATTTCCTGAGCATCTTTAATATATTTATCCTCAACACCCCTATGAGATAGAGAGAGAGATGCTGTTATTCACATTTCACAGATAGGGAAATAAGGCACAAAAGAGACTAAGGCCCAGATCCTCACAGGTATTTTAGGCACCTAGCTCCCCATGAACTCAATGGTTGTTAGGTGCCCAAGTGACTTACATACAGCAAATCTGTGGCAGAGCAGGGAATTGAACACAGATCCCCCAAGTCCTAGGCTAATCCCCTGACCCCGGATCATCCTTCTGCTCTGATATATAATGAAGAATTTGAGCTTGGGCCTAAACAAACGTCTGGACTTCATAAGCTCTTTCGCATTCCATTTGAACATGGCAGGGTCTAATAGGCTGCCACAAACCAGCACTGCTACCAGGAGAATGGATGCAAGTGTGGCCTGGATAGTTAACATAGGCCCAAGCAGAAGCAATCAGCGTATGTAAGGCAAGTAAGTCTGCCTGGAGAAGAGACGGAAAACATTTGGGCGGAACGGTTTATTAGAAAATACACACGTGCAAAAAATGAGAGACTGTCTTAGCCTCTGAAGGTACGTCTGCACAGCATTTTGGAGTCCCAGCTCGGGCGGACAGACTCAGGCTAGCGCGGCTCACGCTCTAAAATAGCTGCCTGGATGGCGCTTTGAAGTTGTGTCTCAGGCAGGAGCTCGGGCTCTGAAATATTGGGGGGGTTGGGGGGGAGGGGTTTAAGAGCCCGAGCTCCAGCCTCAACTGCATCTTCAAAGTGCTGTCCATAAAGCTGTTTTTAGAGCATCAGCATAAGCCCTGCTACACTGAGTCTCTCAGCGCAGGATGGGACGCTCGCTCCAAAATGCTGTGTAGACATACCTTAACGCTCTCGTTAAGGGACCAAATCAACGTGAGCTGTAGATTTGAAGCCAGGTAGTAACATGTTTGGCGTCTATGTTCTGTTGTGTACATCTAAGAACCACTTTCCCTGAACTATTCAGCTGGCTTCTTTCTTTCTCATAGAGTGCTCAACCAGTTTGTTGGAATAGCAAAGAAAAATGCCAGGAGGCCCATTCACTATGGATGGGTTGTCTTCTTTTGCCTTTAAGTAAAACACAAGCAGGTTTTTGTTTATCTTGTATGTGCAAAGCTGTAGTTCTAGTCTACCAAGATTCTTGTCACCAAAATGGGATGCTTTAGATTTCACTATCACCTACCTAACTGAAACTGGAGTAGCCACTAAAACTAGGGACTTCACATGACTTTATTATTTGCATTGCAGTGGCATTTAGGAGCCCTACTCAACTATCAGGGCCCTATTATGCTAGGAGTCGTATGAACAGTAAAAGCGCGGTGTGTCTGCCACAGGAAGCGTACAATTTTAGGTCCTGGTTCAGCAACGCATTTCAGCCCGTGCTTGGTTAGCACAACTTCAGTTGTTATAAGCAATAACCATTTAAAGCATTGGTGTCTTTTACTGCAGAAAAATAACATGCCCAAAGCAGATATATGCTCCCCGAAATCATACCACGTAAAACCAGTTATTAATGCTGATTAAGAAAGCTGTGATGGAGGCAGCCCTGGCCATTACTATTTACCTGAGTTCAGGCATAATGAGTATTGCAGCATCCCAGCGAGGCACGTTAACCAAAACTGGCCTGCTTCCCATCTTACCCAAGCCTTGTTCCATATTTAACCTCTCATGTTCACCTGAGTCTCTAATTAAGCCAACTGGAATCCTGAGCGGTGAGCACACAGTATAATAATAATGACTAGCATTCCTATAATGCCTTCCATCTGAGAACCTCCAGGTATGCTTAGTGGTTTCAGTCTCACACCACCCTGATGAGGTAGGTTTTTATTATCCCTGTTTTTACAGGTGGGGTGGAAAATGAGGTACAGAAGTTAAAACCAAGGTTTTTCCAAAGCGACTGGTGATTTTTGTGTGTGTGTGTGTGTTTTGAGGGAACCAACTTGAGAGGTTTGAAAGGCATGCCCAGGACTTCCTGAAAATCAGGCCCCCTTTAGTGTCTCAAGTTGGAAACCCAGGACGCAAGGCACCCAAAATCCCTTGTCACTTTGGAAAAGCTTGGCCTAAGTGACTTGCTCAGGGGGACAGCAAGTATGGGAGAAATGGAACCCAGGGGCTCCTAAGGCCTGTGTTAACTGCTAGACTACACTGCCTCTTTAATTTACCAGGGAAAAATAAAATGACAAACTCGGCTGTTGTGAATGGGGTTCTGGTTTTCCTTGAGTCACTGTACTGGCCTAACTGATTGGAAAAGTAGAGTATAGTAAACAGAACACCATATTCACGGCAACCTTAACTTTTTATTATTGCTAATTATTTGGATAACGCCAGAGCCGTGCATGGTACTTTTCAGTACAGATAAAGAGCGTATCCCTCACCCAAACGGCTCACAGTTAAGGGAAGAAGAGAACTGACTGGAAAAGCGAGGCCATACGTCTTGCAAGCAACAAAAGACTTTTGACTTATTTTGTTAGCAGTTTGAGCCCTGAAGGAAGTGGATTTGAAAGAGAAGGGTGGCAGGTGGAGTTCAAGCATCGCCTGAAAGAAGGCACTGAGGTGGACAGGGGAGACAAGCTCAAACTGGGGCTGAGCAGCTGGGGCTGCGCAAAGAGGGTGTGAATGCAGGAAGGGACTAGGTTGTGAAGGGCCTTTTTGTTACTTCAGAATCGGGGCAGAGGGAGGAAAGACCACAAGTACAGCTGAAAATATAGAAATGTCCATGTGCTCTGACATATCCTACCAGGCCAGCCATGGGAATCAGCGAGAGAATGTTACATGTTTGTTTTTGGCTTGTTTCTGTTTGGGCTAGAGCTCAAACATTCAAAATAACCATAGGAACAGCAAACATTAGTGTTGTTCTAAAACCTGCCGCAAGCACACTAGAAATCCCCTTACTGCCCAGATTGCAAGTGTCTGCAAAAGGGGGAAACAATTTCGTTTCCTGCTACTTTTGTGGTGTCTAAAGGAGACTTACGAGTCCCCCACACCATTCCCCCCTTCTTGTTTTTTCTCTTTACCTTGGCAATATTGAATCTCCACTTCCCTGGTTTTGCTTGAGGTCTCCTTGGTAGACCTGGAGTCAGTGTCCTCTCTGTCCTCAGTAAAGGGGCAGAACTGTTGACTCTTACACAGAGCTTTTCTCTGGTGTTTTCAGGTGGTTGAGTTAAATAGGCATTAACAGAAACCAAAAGCTTTCAAACAGTGAAAACTCCTCTCAGTTGTTCAGCTTTCACTCTTGGCATTTGTGATGTCATAGTGCTAACAGCACTTGGAGATGGTGGGCTAGATTCTCGGACATGCTCAGCTTCCTCTGAGCCTCTCTTGTGGTACAAAGGGGATGGAATCCAATTTTAACTCCCCTGCTGGAGACACCATTCATCAGGGAGTCCCTATAAGGTGTAGAAGCAGCGTAATGGGTTCCTGTTTCCTTTCCCACAGTCCCTGGAGCAGGGCTGAAGAGGGTCTGGGAGAAGGACTGGCTGCAGCACATTATGCTCAAGCTCTAGATATGCTCAACTGGCAGATGCCTTAGAAACCAGCTGGCCCTTAGGTGGCTCTAAACTACATCATGGTCTGGCTTCGGGAAAGCAATCAGAGAGCAGTAACAGGCTCCATGATGCCCTCTGCCCCCACAGAAGCCAAGTGCAGCGAGGAATGTGGTCCAGTGTTTTTAAGAAAAAACAAAGTAGACCAGAATTGTATTTCTACTGTAAGAGAGACAAACAGGAAAAAAAGGCTTCTGAAGTTGTTTTGGGGTTTTTTTCCTCCTTAGATTGCAAAAGAGGGAAATGACCATAAAGGACCTACCTTTATCCTCTAGCTTAGTTACACTTCTTAATACAATGGTTATACTGAATTATTCATAGAACAGCTGATTAGGTTTTTTTCAGTAAGCTGTCACAACCCTATATTTTCTGCTGGCTATTTCAGCACATTCCCACTGAGTGCAGGAATACAGGTGAGCATGTCCCTAAGTTCAAAGAGGACATTCCCCGAGTGGTTTGTAACTTGTCTTAATTGGATGTTTTGGTGAATGGAGGAGCTCCGGTATCGATCGGGGGCAGTATGGTTTGTGTGTGTTTTGAAAAAGGGCTGCTTCTGGCTGAAACATCCACTCTTCCCTTTGGGATTGTGCAACAAAAAATGAGATTTAAGTCTAAGAATTGCCTGTAGCTTGACTTGTCACCAAATAATGAGTGTACTAAACTTTTTAAAAACAACAACACTGGAGTGGGGTCTCTGACTCTTGCTGTGATATGCGCTAATACATATAAATGTACTTCCTAATGTGACTTTTCCCTCCTCCTTCCACATTAGAATTTTAAAAAGCAAACCCTTGCAAACGCTATTTTTATACCGTCAAGCACGTGCTCTTCTGAAAACCAACACAATTTCCCAAAGGAGTGAGAGAAGGGGAGGAGATTAGTTTCTAAACCCCTTCACCCACACAAACTACAAGTGAGAATTGTTTTTAGGGGTTGCAGTTCTGTTCTTAACTTACAGTGCTAGCAGAATCAAGTCCCATGGTTCTCTTTATAGCTACAAAAGATGTTAGAAATGAATGCCTACTCACATTTAATATTAGCTTATATGGCACACAACTCTTTCGGAAGTACATGGCAGCATAATACTGACAACAGGAGTGTTTATACAACAGAGTCAAAAGAAAACTAGACCAAGAAATGTCAGTATTCAGACAATTTGACGAAGTTCCCTACTTTTTACCAAAAAAATAAAAATAAAATAAAAACAGAAGTGTCCTTGATTCAACAAAGTTTAAAAACTTTCAGTACTGTCAAAGCTACTTCAAAGCCATCTCCACATGTCACTCGTGCCAGGGCTTCTACATGTGTCTTTAGGCTTTGGTGATGTATCCTTCTCTGATCAGGAAGTCATAGATTTTCCTGGTTTTGTTCACATCGATCTTGATGAGTGCTCTAGCCTGGGCTAATCTCAAGCCTCCTTGCTTGTTACACTCATTCACTAAAGCAGCTTTATATTCTAAATAGGCTCCAGGGACCAATCTCACCATCTGACAGAGCTGGAAGACAAAGGTAAAGTTAATAAACGTTAACATCTGCCACACTCGCTCGTCTTGCAATCCCTGGGATGGGGGAGGAAGGAATGATGACCAAAAACACACTTATTTTCCCCTGGGGGGGGGGAAAAATGGCAATTACAAGTGAGTCCAACCCGCAAGTAATAAGAGGAAGAGTTTGCTGAGAGGAGGGCTCTCCTGCTGGTTGCTGTTTTAGAAAGCATTCTTTACTGACAATACACTAGGGAGATGAGTGAGAACCTAATATTGCAGACGTGTGTTAGCACCCTGCGTGGGTGGTGTTCTGTGCAGACCAAGGCAAGTGCACATGCCGAAGAGACTCACAACCACCAGTTCAGCATATTGGACAAATGCCAGACAGGGCTTCTATCTATTCATCCCCTACAGACTACGGTTTTTTTTTTTTTAAATACCCTTTTATAAAAGCAGCTATACACACAGCACTTGCCCTCTAGCAGTTTAGGGCAGGAAATTGTGCAGAGTGGACATTATGCATTTGACAACAACTGAACTTATTAAGGTGACAATCTCTAGTCTCTCCTGCAGACTGAAAATATTGATTCCAAAAAGCTCTCAGGTTCTGTTGTTTGACAGGAAAGGTCCCATGTGGCTCTCAAATATGGGCTTTCCCCTCAGTTCTGTGCTGTAAGGGTACCAGTGGAGATGCTGACTGCCTCTTTCTTTTTAATAATGAAGTGCTCAGTGACTGAACCCCATTGACAGAAATCAGCTGAGACACAAGGTCTCAATAAGAGAGACCTTCTCTGAACTCTGCAGACAAGGAAATCCGACTCCCCTGTAAGCTAATGCCCGGGCAAAATTATTTGTATGCTGAATTATCTGGATGGAGCCAGAAATGCCACATCCACTGGTGAAGTTGTGATCTGATTTTTCACAACTGCTAGATACAATGAATGGAAAAGACTGTTGATTGCTGTGGTGGAAAGGGAATCTAAAATTCATCTAATGCACATCAAATGTACTGACATTTGCTCCCTGGTAGAATAGGTGGTGAGATAAAGACCTTGTTTCTACTGTCTTCCTCCACATCAAGACCACCATCTTCCATTTCAAAGATTAGTAGATGGGACTCCCATCAACCTTCCAGTGCTGTTTTTAATTAGCCACATAAGTCAGTCTCTCGTATAGGAATTGGGAGATGAACTATAGTATTCTATATGGTACTAGGCCAAGTTAACGAACAGTCTCTTAAAGAAGGCCAAATTCTGCTCTTTGAAATGTGCAGCTCTCACTGACGTTACTAGGAGCCTAGTATGCACATCCAAGGGCAGAAATTTGGACAAAGCACAAAAAAGTAAGAATGAACTGTTTCATCTTCCATTGATCATCACGGTGTTGTAACTCAACTTTGGTAGGTTTGGCCTAATACGGTTGACTGAGGTTTGGTCCTTTGGTGTCTGAGCTGGCTGAACTATTGAAAAAAACATTGTTAGGAGCAAGTGATGGTTCCTGTTGGGCCCTCAAAGAAATCCTCAGCCAATTTTAAAGCAAACATTCATTAAGAAAACATTGCTCTCATAAAACCAGAGTGGAGTAAGGGACATCACACTCTGCACATTATAATGTAACAACTTCCCCAAGCTTCTTGCACTACAGTAAACCCATTTGCTAGATCTACATAATATAGCTCATAAAGGCTCACAAGGTTAAGACAGCTCAACAAGACAGCGTCTGAAGATAAATAGCTACATGGTGGTGGTCTGTCTTCCCATTCATTTCCACTCCTCTCCTTACCTCTTTCTCCTTCTCGTTAAGTTTCTCTGTGCCTGGGAGACCCGTGAGGTTCAGTGGGGGGGCGCTCCGTCTACCTATGGAAATAAGGAAAGCAATGTTCACAGCCTACGATGCTAGTTCAGAAGCTGCAGTTTCTCCAGATGTTTTGTCTCAAAAGGCAGACATCAATGATGTTAACCCAGTAAAATCCAAGCGTTTGTGGCCAGCTATGTAGGGCTCAACTTCAAAGCTGCACTAGTTTAACTAAAGACATGGCGTTTTCAATTGATTAAGTTAAAATTCCTGTGTGAACACTTAACTAACCTTTTTTAAGATAGGATTTGCAAGGGATCAACTTCAGCTAAAATGACATGAGCCAAGTTTAAACAGAATAAACAGCATTTTACACCTGTTTAGCTAAATTGACTCTCATACTTTTAGCTAAATCAGTGCAACTTTGTATGTAGACTGGCTTTACTGTGTGCAGTTCTACAGTTCACAGCAGGCGTGAAACGGGAATTTTGTAGGAAACTGCCAGGATTGTTATCTTTTTACTGATAAGCTTAATGGTTTATTTTTCCCACCTAATAGTGCAATATGTATAAAGTGTAACTGCAAATGAATGCCCACTGGACACAAAGCAGCCAGATGGAAAATTTCCAAAAGAAGCAGTTGAAATGCTAAGCAAAAATACAGTATCTTCCACTATTTGCAGTGTTGGTCCCAGGGTATCAGAGAGACCAGGTAGATGAGGTAGTATCTTTTATTGGACCATCTTCTGTTAGTGAAAGAGGTAAACTTGCCACTCTGAGCTGCTTTTCACGTCAGATTGTAGATCGGTTTCTGCAGTTATATATTGGGAGGGGGCCAGCAGAAAGAGTTAAGGGCTAGATTTTCAAAGGCTTTTGGTGCCTAAAGAAGTATACAGGTGCCTAGTGGATTTTCAGAAGTGCCTATGTGGGATTTCAGCTCCAATCGATATCACCAATGTGGGTATTGATACGAGTGTACATGATGGAATTTCCTTAAAAACCAAGATAGTCACAGAAATGCTGTATGTGATCATGTAACTAAAGACAGTACCATACTACATATGCACAAGGGGATTGAATTATGGTTGCATGGGTAACCTTAATTTTGGCACGTTCTAACTTGAGTGCTTGACTTTGCAACCTTAATATTTGTGTATCATTCATATATAAACTCCTCACATCTGCTCACTGATAGGTTTGTCATGCACACATCACTCTGACATGCGAAGAGACCCAGAAGCAGCTCCATATGACTGCAAGGAAAGGACAGAACATCTTTACCATCTTTTAAACCAACCCTGAATCTTGTTGCAGTGTAATCTGAAAAAACTCTTCTCTTTTCCCTGGCCACACTCAATAACGCAGCTATAAAGCCTGATTCTATCTGTATAGCCAGAAGGACCTAGAAATTCAGCAACAACCTACTGACTGTGCATCCAGAATGACTTGTGAGTTATAGACAGTGTTGACTTTTACTGTACTTGGGCATGAGGGTTGCGGATGGACAATTCTGTAATCAAGCAAGAGAGGCCACTTTCCTGAACTAACAGACTAGTGTCACTGATGCATGGTAGAGTCTACACAACACTTAGGAGGTAGTGTAGACATAGCCACCGTCGGCAAAATTTGTGTTGCTCAGGAGGGTGAATATTCCACACCCTTCAGCGACGCAGTTATACAGACCTAACCCCTAGAGGCAGAATACCCACACTGCCAGGAACTCTCTTGTCGGCGTAGGTAGCATCTTCACTCGCTTCTGCACCACTGCAGTGCTGTAAGTGTAGACAAGCCCTGAATGTTCATGTAGACAAGCCCTTAGGGCTTTTATTATAGCTCCATCATAGAAAATAATTACCTGAATTTGAAGCAACTGGCATTGTGGGACTCAGGCCAGAATCACTGCAAGGAAATGAAATGTCAAATTAACTATGCATTGTATAAGAACAGCTGCAAAAATTGGCCCCTACGCTACTTCTTCCCATCTTGTAACAACTGGAACATCCAACTTGCATAACCCAGAGATGAAGCTTAGCAACTTACATATATTAGCCTGATCCTTGAAGTCAAAGGGATTTCCATGTGTGCAGCACTTTCCAGTACTGGCCCAGGAATAAAAACCAAAGATAGAGACTAGTGGGGAAAAAAAGGGATGCTAGATTTCTGTTGATGAAGACTGAACTGTACCCAGCAGGAGATAAAGGGAAAGTACAGCCTTTTCTCTAGACTATATTCTTACGACAGTACAGGATGCAAGTTGTACAGGATACACGTTTCCTTCCTGTGCATTGTAGCTTTTGTTCACAGCCCCAGTTTAGTTTAGATGGCATATTGATAAAGCTGCTGCCGCTAAGATCACACTGCCAGAAAGGACATCAAATGTCATCTGTGTTCTCATTAATACCCCTAAGGGAAGACCCTTGTTTCCTGCAATGGATTTAAAGATAGCAGTTCAGTCCGCATTGAGATAAATAATGTGGTCAAGTTTTCTCAGAAAAAATCAGAATGCGGGTTACGGAACACTTTATGAACCCTACCTAGTCTCTCTTTGTTTGACACTTAAGCACTATTTCCATCACTTAGGGCTTTTTAAAAATTTCTATGAATTAGAGACTATTCTCCTCTCCCCTCATACTAATCTGGGAAACACATTTGTTACTGCCAATAGAAAGAAATGTTGAATCTTTCCAATTAAAGTTGTGCATGGAAAAGGCCTAATCTTACTGTAACCGTACATGTCAGCTTGTCGACTGAGCCATTGCTGGCAGGCGCTGCTGTCCTGGATGTACTGGAGGACTTCGGAAAGCATCGTGCGCTTTAGGCGCTCCTCCTCTCGCGTCTTCTTGAGGTGATCGTAAGTTCTTGCACCTACAGCAAACATACATCACGTTCTGACGGACTGTGCTGAACCAGAATTCTCAGCCTGCTGTTCCCTTACTTCAATAGCTAGGAAATGAATTGTCCCCTAATATTGGGCCAGATTCTGCTACCCTTATTCAAGTGAGTGCAAATTATTTCAGTGGAAGTATTTGTGGAGTCATGTGAGGGTGTCAGGGTTGTATTTAATTTCAGGGCAAAAATAAGTTACTATTAAAAAAAAAAAAAATCTCCTTCAGCCCCGGAAGTGTGATTGAAGTCTGATTCCTTCCTTCACATTCTTCACCTGTTGGTCGATACAGTGCAGCTGTCCTGTCCCCGGCATGGAAAGCATTTATGGCTACTGAGCTACCATACTAGTGCTTTGATAGCTTTTTGGCGTGATGACTATGTTGAGCTCTGCTCAATGGTGCGTTCACCAGGCTATCCATCAACTCAAAATAGTTCTAAAAAAACTCCGCTGCTCTCCTGATGCATTATTAATAGAAGACTCTCTTAGCTAAAGAGTGAGTCAAACACATTTTTTTAAAAAAATCTTCTCATTTAACACATCCTAAATGTAGCTTAAGCATCCTTCACTATCCTAATAGGCTGAATAATCTCCCATGTACTTACTACAGAAGTTAGTGATTCCTGCCGTCCTGTATTCCTGTAGACGCTTTATTTCCCTTCGCAGTTCAAATTCCACTGGTTTTTCCCCAACAGTAAAGAGTAGAGGAATCCAAAAAGAACAAATGTGGGTAAAATGCTGTTGTTAGTGAACATTGCTGCACGTTCCTTACTCGTCGGCAGTTCAGTTACTAAAGTGTATAGCCACAGATAATATTAACTTTTTTGTACTAGCCCATCTGTGATCTTGAGCAAGCAGAACCTACAAATTACTGGATGTGGTATGACCTAATCTGATCGCAACTCGGATTTATTTTGTAAGACCACTTCTAGATTGTTTGTGCAGCAAAGCTATTTTAGCTTCAGGCTCAGGGAATTCCTCTGCCCTGCTATCGATGAGCCAAATGATGCTACTCTGTGGGACTTTTATAAGACACTTTACAAACATTAACAATCCTCACAACACAGTTAGTTAAGTAGGAATATCCCGAGTTGACAGGTAGAGAAATTGTATAGCGAATGTAGGGTCTGATTTTGTTCTCGCTGACATCAACAAGAGCAGAACTGAGCCCTAAGTAACTCTGGTCACAGAAGGACTCTGTGCATACCGAGATTGGAACATGACAGACCTGAAGTTTTCAAATGATTCCTCTCTACGGGGGGGGGGGGGGCAATGTTTGGAAAGCTATCCTGTGTTTGTTTTCCTTGTTTTAAAGTCTCTAGCTATATGCCTTGTAGACCTCTTACATTATCCTATGTTGTCTCTGATCCATGATTTTAATTACTTGACTGTCTTAAGATTTTCCCTGGCTTGGATCCCCTTTCTCTGTGGTCAGTTCAGTAGTGCAGTTAACCTAGCTTTGCCCTTTATCTCTAGTTCGGGGATACTTATTAACTCGAGATTTAATTATACAGCTTCCTAGTACCAGTTAGTTTACAATAAGCAAAAAGTTTGTTTGCCTTAAATTAGTGTATCTATATTGCTCAGGAGCCTTATGTAATTAATGTGTATCCCTGGCTATGTCGAAGGGGGCTCAGATTAAATAAAAAGGCCTCCCTATGGCTAGTAAGACAATGGGACTAGGTGCTGGAGTCAGTACCACCCAAAAGGAGTAAAGATTTGTAGGGTCAGACCCTAGCTCAGTATCTGGCTGTGTCATGAAATGCAGCCACATCTGGCGTGGAACAGGACAGCTGTTCACATGTTGCTTTGTGCTTGCTAATGAAGAGTAATTTTCCCCCCAACAAAGCCACAGAATTTAGGTAAGCAGGATGCAATTACCCGCACTGGAATTTGACCAGGACACGCTGCGATACACATTATAATTATGCAAAAAGAATCTGGCCAATTAGATGATGGAACAGTTTTAAACCATTTAAGGTGAGGCGCTTAATAGAGGCTGTGCTGTATAATTACGTCCTAGCTGAGACAGCTCACATGTATCTTATGGAATATACAATTAACCGCTGACTTAACCCCAATATAAACTTAGGTCATAGGTATTTTACTCTTTCTATGGTATAGCATGGCAGTGCACAAACAGTGATCTTGTCACAAAGAGGAAGGACTAGACAAGTTAGCATAGGACTGTAGTATTTCATTATCTGACATATGCAACAATACTCTCAAATATAACTCAATGGACAATGCACCAATAAGAGCTGAGGATTATTTAGTATACCCACCTAGGGCCATATTTATTTTATCTGAGGTAGATGGGTGGGAGGGGGGGAGGAAAACCTGTATAGTATCTATTTAGAGAAGGCCATTGACAACTAATATAACAATCTGTCACCCACTTAAATGCTTACTTTCTCTGAACAGCTTAAACATGAACAAAGTCAATAAAACACCTACGTGCATGGCTTTCAATGAACTTGTCATGCTCCACTGGGCCTAAAATTCTTGCAAACCGTCGCATTGTTTCATAAAGGTCTTGGACCTCCTTTGGGTATCGTCTCTCCAGAACTGCAATAAAAAAAAAAAATAGTGACCTCTGTGAGCAATATCTTTATGCTGGGCAGGGGAATTGGGATAGCTAGGCATTTTGTGGGGGGAGAAGAATCCTCTTCATATGGTAACTGCTAATAGTTCCCTTCACATGATACAAGTTCGCACCATGGTAGGGACAAATGCTTAAAAAAAAAAAAAAAAAAAAAAGAGGCAAGCCTACACATGTAGCCAAAATTCCCACTGGTTGTAACTGACATGGTGGTAAAATATGCCCCTGGATCCTAATTCCCACTAAAAATCGTACTGGTGTTGCTACCAGGGCAGCTGACCTGGTGGAATTTTTTTTTCACTAAAATTCCCTAGTGTAGACAGGGCCTCTGTGTTGTAAAGGGGCCCGATCAGATTGTGGCCCCGAGGTAGTATTGTAATTCTAGCAATACTTCCTCAAACCAAGTCACGTGTCATGATCATAACAAATTTTTTTTTTTAAAAGAACCTTAAAAGCCATGAGTTAAAATCACATCTGATATTACTTTTAATGAGAGAGGGAACATAAATCCCACCAATAAAAGACTAAAGGAATCTGAACAGGTCACCATAATCTGTAACCACCGTATGGGTCCAAGTTTGATATTCTCCTTATGGTGACAAAATTACAAACAAAGTGACAAAGAATGCTATGGTGCCCGCAACATGCAATTCTAAGTCCTAATGTATGATAACTAGGTGTTGATTGACAATATCTTGGACATAGTATGTGTAAACCATTCTATAATTTACACTGCAAATATCCAGCATTTAAAGTCTCTCTCTAACTTTGGCTTAAAGCCATTTTAAAACAAAAAGCTGTATTTAGTACTTACTCTGAAATTTTCTGAGGTTGATGAGGCCATGGTCTCTTATAATTCTATAATTAAAAAAGAAATAGTAGTAATAAGTAATAACTCATTTATTAGTGAACAAATACAAACGTCAAAGGGGTTCTGGTAATATTTATACAATTTTACACAAGTTCTAACTCTATAAACGGGGAATACATGATATTTTATAAACGATTAGTCAGCATGAGTTTGGGATAGCTATGTTCGTTACCATGAGTCCAACCGGCAGGGCTCAAAAAGAGCTATATATAACCTCTTAAAAGGATCTAAAATAGCTTTTCTAAACCCAAATGTCATGTCTCTTGAATGTCTTATGTCTTGCCCAGCCAAAGCTAAAAGCAAGTTCCACACTTGATTTAAAAAACAAAACAAAACAACAAAGTGGCTGTTTTAAAGCCACTCATGAGGTTAGAATGTTAGACTAGCCCCAAGGAAATGAGTTAATGGGCAGAGGATAGGTGAGATGGTCACAGGTGTGTGAGATGGTCACAGGGCTCTGCAATTATCACATGGATATTGCCTGTGTGTGTGGTTATTTTATATACACACAACTTTTGAGAGAGAGAGAGAGAGAGAGAGAGAGCACGCTCGCTTTTTGAGTAACTTTGTTAGGCAAGGTTGTGGCTGAACTTAAATCTGTGAAGCATATTACTTCCTCTCTCTATTTACATAAACTGCACAAGTGTTTTTCCATCCCAAGTAGAACAGGATTTAATAGGCGTTGTGTCAGTGACGTTAGGAGTTTTATGTTCTCTTAGGGTTTTGTCCTGCTTGGTCTATTAAAAACTTAACAGCCACTGACACCAATGTGCTGTACACAACTATAGGGGTTAAGACACCTTTTTTTAATAAGACACACTATGTATCATCATGTAGTTTATGCCACACATAAATATTTTTGAATTGGGAGAAGGAAGGGCAGGTCTAATTGAGTCTCCTTCTCTTTCAACTACCCTTCAAAATAACATGTTGTGTTGACCTTTTATTCTGGGAGGAGGGAGGGACAAGTTTTGCTCCAAAGTTGTTAATCATCTTGGCCCTGGCAGTAAAAGGATGAATAACTTACAAAAACTGGACAAAGTATTTGAAAGATTCAATGAATAATTCTAGAGTCATAAAATTTGTTGAATAAAGTATTCAAACTTTATTTAACCACCTCATATTAGCAACACAGTTATCTGTATTACGTGTCCTCAGACACTTAGGAAAAGAGGCTCTAGTGTACTAACCATCATGATGCGAGCATATCTATGGAAAGGGATTGGGTTTAGTAAGAGTAGGAGACTGGGAGTCAGGTCTCCTAAACCAGGGTCTAAGTACGCCTGGCCTGACAGCACGGTGATTAGAGAAGGGAGCTGAGTTAGGATTGCTGGTTTCTACATCTGGATCTACCACTAACTCGCTGAGACTTCATTTAACCTCAGTGTCCCACTCTACGAAATGGGTATATTATCTCACAGGGATGCTGAAGGGTTAGTTATTTATAAATTGCTTTGAGATGCTTGTATTGAAAGTACTCAACTGGTGAAATTCACCACTGTGCATATGGCGAGCACAAGGCCTATATGTCGCTTCTGCCTTGTTTTGACATCTTACATGGAAGTTTAAGGTGTGTAGAAGCTTGTGCAGATCCTTTGGCCAGGGGGAATTTCACCAATATGTACAAATTAGTTCTGTTGTGTGTGAATCTGCATACTTCCTAGTCTGTTGAAGTGTTAAATTCTCCTGCTGAGATCCATGTGGCTGATCTGTATTCTGTGCACATAGGGAAAGCAGAATAGCAGAGTTGAGATCTGCTCTAACAGGAGAAGTTTTCCCTCAGTATTAGGTTTTTGGGATCCTTCTGGAAGGTGCTGGTTAAAATCAATTACACTTAATATCAGGATAACATAACACCGTGAATATTGAAGCTCTGGACTACAATCACTGGTTGAGAACTCACTTTTTTCTCCTCTGCCTTTCCTTTAACCTGGAGTGATAGATATCTACAACTGCAATCTTCAAAGCTGCCAAGTATAGAAAGGAAGATCAGAAAAACAGATTAATCACGTACGAGATTATCACACCAGGCTTCTCCCCAGATCCCCCAAAAACCTGTGTTCATCACAGCTTGAAAAGGCCCACTTCACTTGTACGAAGCAGGCTGGCTGCCTTTGCTTCAAGATGTTAAAAATCCCAAACCTCTGAACTGTACAGCATCATAAAGCTACTACAGCAGTGGTGGGCAACCTGCGACCCGCACATGGCCCGTCAGGGTAATCTGCTGGCAGGCTGCGAGACAGTTCGTTTACATTGACCGTCCGCAGGCACAGCCACCCGCAGCTCCCGGTGGCCGTGGTTCGCCGTTCCCAGCCAGTGGGAGCTGCAGGAAGCGGCGCGGGTCACAGGTTGCCCGCCACTGTACTACAGGCTAGGTTGGTGCATACTGCACACCCCTATTTGTAAAATTGATTTCACTTATTTTTCCTAACACTATCACACACATGAATATGAATCTTGAGACCCTGAATCCCTTTTCCCCTCTCCTTAGCCCAAAGTTACTATCTTACTATTGATATTAAGGACTTTTTGTTTTTCGCAAAAGGGAAAACATTTTGCCCTTTATACTTCCCTGAAAAGCAAATGGTTAGGCTTAATATTTGATATGTTTCCTTTGGAGAAGGACTAGCCTGCAGAGAAATAAGGAAGGGGATTAAAGGAATGCCAAGAGCTAAAAAGACTGAGATCTGAATTGAGACAATTCAGAGTAGACTTTGCTGAGACTCTCAGAAATTACCTAGAAGATTTTTAGCTAGTTAGCAAAATATAAAAAAAAAAGTTATCAACCAAAAGAGACCCAAGAGGGCAGTTCTCAACAAGTACGGAGAAAACTTGCTTGTTGTTAGAAACCATCTCTTTCTATAAGAAATTGTCTAAAATTCTTCTGGCTAATCCACCTATAGATTCTGCAACTCGTTTTCACAGATACACTGAGGTTAATAAATTTTCTTGGCACATTCTGGAGAGAGCAGATAAAGTAGACACCCAGCTCTTCCACTAGGACTAGCTTCATAATTCTGTTAAATAATTCAAAGACCCATCTTGCTAAATAAGCCGTGTGTGTTGATTTCTGGATTGGATTTTTCTCTCAGTGTTACTTAGTTTAATGTTTTCCCAAAAAGAACAGGCTTAAGATTCTACAATGGATTTATAGTCTGCAGACACAACATGCAAATCTGTGAAACCAAGCAAGAGTATTTCTCCCTCCACCTCAATACACTGTATGAACAGATGTATCCAAAGTGTAGCAGAGCCCAGAAACATGGTCCATGCATGACCACCCTCTCCCTGTTGCTGCAGGATAAGGACAAGTGCAGTTTATTAATGGAGAGTCAAATCAATTAGCAATTAATCTAGTAATGAAGAGGCAGGCTGCAGTAAGCATAGCTGTGGGAATTTACTTGATATTTTAAAATATACCATATGTATATTTATGTGTAAATTACACGTGGCTCCTAGTCTCCAGGCAAATGGCCAGTGTAGCCCTCTGTGCCATAAGGTTTGGCCGTCCCTCTTTATTGGAAACTCGGAAGGGTTGGGGTGTGAGCTCAAAAGCCAGTTCTAAGTTCATTTGATGTTCCTTTTTATTTATGTAGCATCTTCAGGATAATACTGTATTTTGACTTATGTGAAATCAGTGTCCAAATTAAAGTCTGACAAGCTAAAATCCCGATGTCTTAGAACCTTTATCTGATACAGAATCTGGATGCAACAGATTACTAAATCATAGCAATAGGAAAGCTACAATGTCCTTGTTCTTTTTAACATAGGGCAATGGGAGGACATGGTGTATATTTAAATATAGATTTGCTTGGGTTTCTTAGCCCAGCAACAAGGCAGTATTAACAAATTCTCTATTCCTTGCTTAGATTCAGGGAGAGAAGAATGAGAAATGTAGTAAGTTAGATATGAATGAAATACCTTACAAAGTACAGGAATCACTGAATATAAAACCTTTGTATTTTTAAGGCTCCCAAAAGCTAAGCTGTCATATTATTTTCTGGGATTTGTTTGGGAAGAACTTTGAGTAGACAGAGATTGCACTGGAGAAACTCTATAAATACCACCAGTAATTGGTCACCTGCAACTGGAGGATTGTATTTCTGACGCTTTCACTTGAATTTAAAGCGTTCTGAAAGAAATTATGATTGATTGGGTAGGGGAGTGAACATTTACCAGAGCAAATGAAGGAAAAAAATGGATCTCTCACACTGAGAAAATTCACATTCATTGCAGTTGTCTTTTCTTTATCGACACATTCACATAGAAGCAACTGATTACAAGATCTGGAATGCATGAATAACCCAGACTACTACAATGCTACATGCTGCATGGTAATGAGAAAAGAGATGCTACAAGAATTAAAATGATCTGCCTATGTTTTTCCCCTTGGAGAATGCTGGAGAGACAGCTGTTGACCTTATGACCAAGGAAATCCAAGGTGATGTCACAGTCAAAGTGTCCATTATGGGAAAAGATAAGAAATGATCAGTATAGCTTCCAATAATAGGCAAGGCTATTTCCTCCACTTTGAAACCAAAAAAACTGTGCACGTGCTAGCGTATATCCAAATATAGTTTGCCCTACCCTTCCAATTCCCTTCTCTAACAGCATCTGCTCTGCAGAAACCTGAGTGGCAGTGAATGAAAGACATGTTTCAGGCCAACTAATCCACTAGTTGGCATCACTCATCCATACAACAGGAAGAATGTAAATTAATTTATGTAATTCCCAGTGTGCTCCTGGCTTTGTAGGCACACATTGGATACAATCCAAACTCACCCCTTCCCAGAGGAGAGAAAAATCTTAAGGAATCTATTTTAGACAGCTATAGCAGAGCCTCCTCTAGGGCTGTCTCAGGAATAAACATTATGTAGAGTTTTAAAAACAGTACGTTTAAAAGGACATTGCCAGGTTTCATGTCACACGTTTTCACGCCAGCACAATCAGAGATTTAGTCTATATCTAATCACTTCTTCAAAGTCTGCAGACAGCCTTGGTAAAATGCTTTCTGATGTTAAAAGTAAAAATCTTTTTTTGGGGAGAGGGGAGGGGGTAGGAGAAAGTCTGGATGAGGATTAATAATTAACACTATAATTCAGTCTCTAATAAAAACTCAGTTTCTAAGATTTTTCAAAAGCCCCTGACTGAATTACAGATCGGTAATGATTTGTTTCTTTCATTCTATCCATTATACTATATTTAATTGTGATATCAATTATCTACCTGCACACACTTACCAACTTACATGTGCTGCACACAAAGAGTTAACCGTAATAATGTATTTCACACTGCTCCTGAAGCCATCTTGTCAGCTTCAAGAAGTAAAAGTGAAGGATACAGATTATCCCGGGTGGTAAGAAGCTGGATGACTCAGCAATCACAAGCATTCTGTGCTCCTGATAAAAGACATTTGGGAGTCTAGATGCCTTATGTTAAACTGCATTTCTCTTTCTTGTGGGAGTAGTGAGAAACTGTGTAGAGCAATGCAAGGAAATATAATTAGGATGAAATTAAAGGGACAGGGGTCAGGTAGCTTAGACCTGAAAGAGAAGATGACCATAAAACGAATCTGCCCAGTTCATTTTCATTGTCTAATCAGAGTGAATTTCCCGAAGCAAGACGTAGAAAGTAAATTAGATTTCAAAAATTCATTTTTAACACAATGGTTATGGTAGGAACACGGAAGAAAACGTTAGGCTTTCTTAAAAACAAAACTAAAACAAATGTAGGCTAAATGTTAGGGAGGAAAAATTCCTATCTGTGAGAACGCTTTGTGAGATCCTCATCCCTGTGCTAGTCCCCTTTATGCTGAGTAAGAGGGCTGGAGCCTTTTGAAGGATCCCTAAGTACCCCAGATGTGGCTGATAGAGTACAGCTGCCTATCCTGGCCCTTCTCACAAGCCCCAGTGAAGATGGTATGCCAGGAGGAGGAGCTGGGAGCAGGAGGGACATATTGGGACAAGCTGCAGGAATTCCAGGCAGTGCTGTGGCCCACAAGACAACCAGGGGAGACTGTCATAACTTAGGCCTCTGGTACATTGGAGGACTTCTCCTGCCCCCAGAACAGCCAAGGACTGGGAGAGTACAAAGATGGCTTACAGTCTCCTTATCCACTCTCCTCCACTGGGCTCTGAGTGCTGTGCTGTACCTCTTTGAGGGATATCTTAAATGGCTAATGTTGGGGGAGGAGGAGACAGCATGCAATTGATGTGGAAGATTGTGTCGGTAAACTGGTTACTGTGAATAGCAAATGTATGAATAGGCTAAAATAGATGAATTAGCGAACAGAACCAGGACACTATTTATTTATTTGCTTGCTTTTCGATTAGCCAGGAGTTAATGGAGGAAACAAGAGCAGCTGTATTTACACATAATTTCTTTCCACACGTGTTTTAAGAGGAAGAACTTTTTTGTCGGAGAGAGCATGTTGAACCTCTGCACAATGCACACTAGTCAGTGACTTCCCGAGGTAAGCTTTATAAAGGAATGAGAGACTGATTTATAATGCAGACAAACTGTTGCTATTCCAAGATTATAGTTTACAGATGGAAATATTTCCTGGGAGTCAAGAGAAGGTTTAAAGATTACAACACCATGTTCTCTGCTGTGTCCTGCTAAACTTCACACTGAAATTTGGAATGACTGGGCTATGTGGAACTGGAGTTTCCTCTGTGACTCCAAGAAACACTAAGGCTTTCATGGTCAGGGTTACATAAAGAATGAAAACCAGCCCCCCAATAATTAGATGGAGAACTCTGAAATGTGAGCATGGTACTGTTGAATATTCAACATGTTTATAAATGAGAGAGACTAGAAATCCTCTTTCCCCCAAGGATTTAAACCTAATTCAATTCTAATACTTCCTTTTGTTTGGTACCAATTAGGCAAAACTTATTCGCAGAATTTCAGCGAACTCTTATTAGAAGCTCTTCTCTGAACAATATTAGAAGCTGTGAGAGTAATCCTCCTTTTCATGGAGAGGAAAAGGAAATCTTTATATTCAACTATGCCAATGCAGTTCAGTGTATTCACTTGGCTGAACAAAGATCACAATATCTCAAGAGCATATTTTGAACTCACTGCACAGGGCTTAATCTGCGCACCACCTACTGTTGCCTGTATCAATACCACCCTGCTAGCAGATTTCACAAACTAAGCAGGATTAGGACAGGTGGGAAGACTTTCAAGCAACACCTAGATGCAACAGGAAGTGGTATTAGTAATTCACTAGATGGCACTGTTGCATCTAAGTCAGTACTGAAGCAATGCCACAGCATGGTGTTAGCTGACACTGTGTTGCATGAGGTGCTACCTTTCAGATCAGGGTAAAATCCAGGCTCTGACCTCTTAAGATCCATGACTGTATCATAGTTCTTTACACAGATATTCTAGGGAAGATGCCTGTAACCTGGCAAAACTCTAGCTCTGGTAATACCATATGCCTACCCAAATTCTCCCTGCAGTTTCTATTGGATATAGTATTCCTGACTTCCTCTCCTAAAGTGCGGTACGATGTAGTTGGGCCTTATTAAAATGTTCCACCTTACAGTTGGCTACATTTCAGTGGTGGGTAAGGCGATCTCTTTAGAGTAAATGTATCCTGTACACCCATTGTTAAAGTTATGGCAGGAGCACTGGATTGAAATACACTATAGAAATGCAAGTGTTATACCCAGCACACACAATTGAGAGAATTCTATTAAAATTGAAACTTTACCCCAAAAGCCCATATGTGCAGAAAAATCAACTGAACAACGTTGACCAGGCATTTTGAGACACCACTTTCAAACATTCTTCCCAAGACATGGGACTTACCATGTAAAATGTCTGAATCATCTTCCACAAAATCTATATCTCTCAAATCCCATTCAGCATAGTTGTCAAACTCCTGTTCAAAGAAGACCAACAAGTGCTCACTAGTTAATTCTAGGAACCTTGATAACTCACTGGAGCAGATGACAGAGCTGAAGAATACTGAAAACAGAGATATTTACTAAAGACCATTCCCTCCCCACAAAAAAAAGTCAAGTTAAGCGTGGCTTTACAAGACTACATCCTTATGCAAGGTACACACCAGATGGAAAAACCCTACTGGGGTTTTAATTAGTGGAAGAATAATCTACCGCACCAATGACTGTGGCAGAAATACCCAAGCATCCAAGTGGAGTACAATTTAAATATAATATCATCTACCAGGTAACTGCCATTGCTCCTATTCTGTGTGGAAAATTCTGCGCAAAAATTGAAAAATAACATGGGCCAATGGGGGCTGTGCCTGCTTATTTTAGGATTGACTTTATCCTGGTACGTTAATTATGACATTAGTGATCACTGAATGAATAGAAGCTTGCTTTGTAAGAGGACTTTGTAACCATGGGCCTGATCAAAAGAAATTGAAAGCAACAGGAGCCTTCTTGTGAACTTCAATTAGCTTTGAATCAGGTCAAATGCATGTGTCTCTAGGGAAAGTAAACTAAAAATAAGCTGCCCCCTTTTGTTGAGCATCTCATTCACACATCTAGCCTTCTTGCATAAGAGTCATTCATTATCAGACTTTTGGTAATGCTAATGGCATGCCTTACAATGCTTATTCACAAAGTCACAGTTAGCTGCTTCTCAGGCCCTTTAATACACCTCTCTGATTATAAATGGAACCCCCTAAAGTAAGATCTGCAGAAAAGAAGAATGAGGGGGGATCTGATTGCTGCTTTCAACTACCTGAAAAGGGGTTCCAAAGAGGATGGATCTAGCCTGTTCTCAGTGGTACCAGATGACAGAACAAGGAGTAATGGTCTCAAGTTGCAGTGGGGGAGGTTTAGGTTGGATATTAGGAAAAACTTTTTCACTAGGAGGGTGGTGAAGCAATGGGAATGGGTTACCTAGGGAGGTGGTGGAATCTCCTTCCTTAGAGGTTTTTAAGGTCAGGCTTGACGAAGCCCTGACTGGGATGATTTAGTGGGGGATTGGTCCTGCTTTGAGCAGGGGGTTGGACTAGATGACCTCCTGAGGTCCCTTCCAACCCTGATATTCTATGATTCTAAGGTCATGGCTATCCTTGGTTTTATCATCCAATCCCCTCATTTCCTTTAATACTTTTAATATGAATATTAAAGAAAATCTGTAGATAGAATGAGTGAGTGTGTGTATGTGTCCCTAATCGGTAGCAACAACAAAACAAGACCAGAGAGATTTCTACCTCAATAAAGTCAGCTCTAGCTGGCATGTACCCAGCCATGTCCCGGGAGAGCAAGGAATCAAAGGTAGGTCGTGGAGGATCATCAGCAGCTGAAAAAAATATGGGTTTTAGTTGCTGTGGATATTTTAATTTGACATGTAATTGCAAAACAGACTGCAGTTCTAGAAAAGAGTATTCCCTTTTCAGGTGCAGGAGGAATTAGTTTAGCTAAGACAGCCTTATTATTTAGTAATTAGGATGGGTAAAAGTGCTGAGTCCATTGGGATAAGGTGAGGTACACTACGTTCCTCAGAGAATCCTCTGTCCATAGTGTTGACCAGGAGCATTTTTTGGGGGTTCACCTTCTTGGGTTCAACATCAGGTGACTTCATTCCCTCACTCTCCCACAATGCACCTAATGGAGTGCAGTATATTTTATGTACCAAAAGGCTTGGTCTGGTATATGGAAAATCCTATTCTTAAATATTCTATGGTGATCCACAGACCAAATATTACTCTCCTTTCTGAGTAAAAGCAAAGTACACACCCTTCTCCAAGGTTCAATCAATTCTCTGAATATTTTATCTTAGAGACTGTGCAAAGAAATCCAGTGTCCATCCCTACGGTGGATACTTACGGTGGAATGGAATGGCCGTGTCAGCGTTTTGTGCCTCTTCTGCCTGCTTCAAGTTCAGCAACGTAGATGCAAACAAGGGATTGTTGATGAAGTGTTTCATATAATGTTTCTCACACTCCTCCTTTGCTTTTGTGCACATCTGATTGGCCACGTCCTGCCTAAGGAGGGGAAATTCCCACAGAAATTGGCTGATTTTTCACTGATGGAAAAAAGAATTATTTAAAGAGAGCTTGGTATGTTCAGCCTAGCAAAATGAAGGCTGAGGGGGGAATATGCTTTCTCCCCAGATGTAGTTATAGAAAGAAAATAGCAGGGATGGAGAAGAGCTATTTAAGCTAAAGGACAATGTTGGCACAAGAATATATGAACTGGCTATGACTAAATGTAGGTTGGAAATTTAGATGATGGTTTCTAACCATCAGAGGAGCAAAGTTCTATAATAGCCTTCCAATACGCGTAGTGGGAGCAAACAACCTAACTAGTTTTAAGAAGGAGCTTGATAAAACTTTATGGGATTATCTGAGCAGGTTGCCTGCAATAACAGGACTGGACTCGATGACCCAGTCCTTTATCCTATGTTCTAAATGGAAATTCGAACAGGTTTTCCAATTTAATTTTGTCTGCAATTCTATTCATGAGACCTCATGTTGTTCTGTTTAAAGCAGAGACTGGAGTTCCGTTAACTTTACAATCTGGCTGTTAAGTATGGACCACATCTTAATACAGGCATTGTCTTCTGAATGGGAAGGGAGATGGCTCCCAATTGCAAGCACGATCTCCTCTAATTTGCAAAAGCCTAACTACAATTATTTGAATACAGACTAATACCAGAAAAGTAATTAACTTTAATGTGATATAGCAGCTGGAAACAAGAAGAGCCAGCACCATGTGACCAACCAGCTCTCAGCTGACCACAAGCTTTATGGACCATCTGTGGGCCACAGACCACAGTTTGCGAACCTTTGTCTTAAGGCAGTTTACATATGAGTAAACTGAGGCAGGGTGAAATTAAAGGCCTGATCGTGCTAGATGTCAAGCTCCCTCAAATTCCAATGACTTCTGTGGGAGTTGAGGGAGTTCTGCACCTAATCTCTCAGGATTAGGCCTTCAGTGCCTTCCTCAATGTCACACACAGTCAGTGGTAGAGCTGGGAACGGACCTCTTGATCTTTCATTCCTCCACACTAATGGTTAGATTGGACTCTCACCCATGAGGAATATGCTATGCTATGTGCCAGAATATTCAGCACTCCGATCCTAACCCAAAGCTCTCAGAAGTCAATGGAAAGACTTGATTTCAATGGGCTTTGGTTCAGGCACTAAATTCTCACCAGTTTCCAAATCCACAGTCCATCACGGCCTCTAGAAGTGCCATTTCCTCCTGAGCTGTCCAGCTGGGATCCAGAACAGGAAAATCTGACGTCTGGAGAGAAAAAAGAACAAATCTCAGGGTCCCTCTCTGTATAGATCACCACCTACAGAATCAATGAAATTCTGGTGCTATCTGGCAGTAAGCGCTCAAGCTGCTTTGGTACTGACCGTTTAAAAGCTTCACTTTGTCCCAAGGCAGTTTTATGTCAATAAGCCATCGACCATAATTACTGCTAGTTTGTGAAACTGTCATTAGAGAAGCTCTAAATACAGCAACATTTAATGTATCGACCAGCTGTAATTCAAAAAAGTGTAGTGTCATGAAATGAAATCGAAATTGTGTTTTAAAAGAAGTTTCTTTAAACTTTTTCACTGGGGGAGGGAGGAAGCAATTTGTCCATATGATAAAATAACTGTCTACCAATTTTTCTAATGAAAGCCATATATGGACAATAAAACACAAATTAAAAAACCTTTGCATCATTCCACAGTGTTAGATATGGATATTTTTTCTTTAATTTTAGTAAGAACATCAGAGCTGCCATACTGGTCAGACTATGGTCTATCTTGCCCCATATCCTGTCTCTGACAGCAGACCGTACTAGAGCTTCAGGGGCAGTGTACAGAGCCACCCATCTTCCACTCCCAGTTTCTGGTAGTTCGAGTTTAGAATCACCCCGAGCACGGGATTGTATCCTGACCATCTTGGCTAATAGCCATTGATGGATCTTTCCTTCATGAACTTATCCAGTTCTTTCTTTGAACCTAGTTATACTTTTGGCCATCACAACATCCCACGGCAATGAATTCCATAGGTTAGTTGTGGGTTGCGTGAAATAAGTACCTCCTCTTGTTTGGATTAAACCTGCTGTTTATAATTTCATTGGATGACCCTAATTTAAAAAAATAAAATAAAAAAATCTGCCGCTGGGTTAGTTTTCTGACAGTTATAAAATTCTGAAAACGAGGTTGTGTATCTAACAGACTTTTAATGTGAGATTAGTAAACATGGGTCTAACTTCTATAAAAGGATAACAAAACCCAAAATGAAGAAAGATAATTTAAATTGTATACTTACCATGATTTCATAAGTATGATCGCTCTGGTGTTTCTTATACTCAAATCCTCGTGTGAAACACTGCAAAATAAAAGATTAAAACCATGTTACTTTCCTGCCTCTTCCTTGAGAATACATTTAAGTTCTGTTTTGTTTTTTTTTTATTGTGCACTAACTAACAAAAATTGTCCACTTTATAGATAAAAGTGGATTTTTATAGTAATTTAGTCCCCTCTACACACAAAAACCCCAATTTGAGTTAATCTGTTGTTGGACTGTTTTCACAGTGGCTCATTCCAGAGGACAGAGCACAGACATTTATATGCAGAAAAGTACTAGAAGAATAAAATTTCCCTTTAGTTAAAGGAAGAAATAACTTGTCACCCATCTTTCCGAGTTTAATACTATATTGAGGATGGTTCACAGCTATGTACTGCAATTTAAAAGGAATTCCGGTTAGATAAGACCTGAGAAATAAAAGGTATGGTCTATCTGTGTAGACCACTACACCATGTCATTCTCTCTGTGTCCATGGGTGCCTAATCAAAGACTTCCTTCACCTGCTCATGCTGAATTCCACATTTCTCCCACCCTCCAACATTTTCTCTACCATTTCCCTGTCTCTGAGCAAATATTTGTCAGATGAACATGAGTTGATACGAGACTGACTAGCAACTAAAAGGTGATAGGCAATGGTTTATCATTTAGAAATAGCTTTGACGACCTGGTTCTCAACAAGGCATACACTTCCACGTTTACACTCCGCTTACCTGCAAACACAGGAGAAAGGGAGGAGGCCCACATTCTGCACATTTGATGTACGGTTCCATGAGGTAGGAAGAGCAGCCTCGGCAAGGTGGTTTATCAAAAGGGTCGTCTATGAAATCAACAAGAAAATAAGCTGAAGGAAATTGAATGCAACACAAGCATGATATTATTGTTTACGCAATTGTCCATAACCACTAGAACCTTGTATTTATAAAATAAAGTTAGCAGTGTATCTACATCCTGTGTGGTCTCTTCAGTTGATATTACATTTTTAAAAATAAACTGTTTAGGCAATAAGAGTTTACATGTTACAGCTGATGTAACCCTTTCTTCTCTAATGCAGTTTCAGCTTCCTCAACTATCTGTTGGAAGTTCCTTGTCCAACTTCAGCTGCTAGAGAGATCCTCACCTTGATATCTTCCCAGAGATGGTGAAATTATAGATCATCGCTTGGGCCGGATGCTGTGATGTGCTGGGCGTCTTAAACTTGTGCAATGAAAGTCGATCCTTTGAAATCTATGAATACTATCCTGCAGAAATGCAAGCAGCACGGACTGGAAGACCAAAGAGGTCCTTTCTAACTCTAGTATCTATGATTCAGTGCTTCTGAAAGCTGGCTGAATCACAGACCAGGAGACCAAAGTAATATATTTATCTAGGGAGACTGCCCAGCACAGGAAGTGGCAGCTGTCCCATCTGTTTGCCCCCAAAACAGCCTAAAACAACAGTCTGTCGGGGCAAGAAAGGTGTTCTGTTTCTATAGCCAATTCAAGCCTTGGCCTCTCTAAGTTTGTCAAGAAGGGAGTTAATTAATGCTGTGTAGTGGTGTGTGGGTTTCTTTGTGACAGATTTATTCAGTGAGATATTTATATTTTATTTAAAACTTTATATTTAAATAAACAATTAGGATACTTAATTTGTTTATTCAACTAGACTATTTCCATTACCAATCCTCTGATCCACCGAGGGCCCCCATCAAATTATCTTATGACGGTTCTGGGGCAAAAACCATCGCATGGATCAAAATACCCTATTTCTCAGCAACCCTCATTGGAGGATAAAGCCTTCAAGCGAGGGCAGATGTTTTTAAGTCCTCTCTGTAAAGCTCTATTTATTGTACTTACTGCTGAAGGAGGCCAGGCGCTCCATCCTGCTCACACGGTTGTGTTCTTCTTCAGGACAGCAATAAAAGCACCCCTCCTTGTACAACACTCTTCAGTGTAACACGAACACCTGCTAATGTGTCTACCAGGGTACCATCCAATTGAAAGAGAGCAGGCTGTTATACAGCCCCTAGAAAAGATAAGCTCCTCTAAGACTGTACCAACTACTCAAGCAAAAGGACTATCAGTCATTGCAACAGAGATCATTTGACGTGGCTGAAAGTCTGTTCTCTACAGGTGAGAGAAGAAACCAAATGCGGAAAGATACAATTCATAGTATTAAGAAATCCGGATCTCCAGGATCATCACTTATCTGAAGAGAAGATTGATGTGACCCCAGTAAAGGTGGTGATTGCCAAGTAACCGTAACATCATGAATCTTGAGTACTTTGCTATAAGATGTCCTTCATTAGCTCTGCAGAACCATGAGCTGGGCCTTTACGGTTTTATATATTTGTACTAGGCAGATTTAGCCTCTTCCTCACTGCTTATTTGTGCTTTAATAAAAGAGTCCTTGAAGTCCTGAGAGTTGAAAACAGAAATTTCCTTCACGGAGTAGCGAAAGTTTCCTCTAGGAACATGGTCATCACAGCTAAGTTAGTGGACTTTATAGAACCGATAACTGCTTTTAAGAGCTGTGAGTTGGCCGGCTGTATATTCTCCCCTTCTCGTGCAACAGTGCCAGGACAACTATATTCCTGTCAGAAAAGAAAATAAGTAATTTAATTCAAGGATCTAAGTGCTTCACAAACATTAACTGATGCACCAGACAATGAATTCTGTTAGAGAGGTCAGTATGGTGGTCATAGTATCTCCAATTTACTAATAAGGAAACTAAGGCCAAGGAAGTGAAGTGACCTGCCCAAAGTCACAGAGCAAACCAGTCATAAACCAGGGAGCAGAGTCCAGACTCTGTTCTAGCTATTGGATCACATTTCAGATCAAAGTTCCCAGAAGAGAGCAGGACAGCAATCAAGTAAGGTACAATTTTGTTGGTAACAGAAACTTGTTACTTGAATCTAGTTTAATTAAAACTGATTCCCCCCAGGAATCTATAATGTAAATTTCATTGTGTGAAACATTTAAAATGTATCAGTACCAACCAACAAAAACACCCAATGGAGGATTGCAATAGAAATGTATGTTAGAATAGAGGGCTACTGAAATTAGGTGTAGGGTAAGGACCTTTTCAACTCTATGCACGTATGGGGAAGAGAAAGGGGATACTCTAGTCAAGTGTTTCTCAACCTTTTTGATATTAGGGACCTGCTTGCTGCCTTCCTAAACTGTGCTAGAGAGATCTCAGGGACCAGAGCCATGGACCAGTTGTTGAGAAACACTGCTTTAGTTTAGCATGATGAATATTATCCTCCTACTCCTTGTTCCAGAATAGGTGCAGTTCTTGGTAAAATTATCAGCAATGCAAAAGATAACCAGGTTGATAGCAAGGCACTTCCACCGCACTAATACCAATGACAGTTCAACAGCCTCTCTGACGAAGTTTTGTTTCATGGATCTATCTTAGGGTTTTATAGGGCCGTCCATCACCATAGTATCCGATTGCCAGCCATGTAAAATCAAAGTCCCTAGTGGTCTTCCTGGAGTTTCTGACCTCCATCCACCCCTCCAGAACAAAAGGCCCCCACCCCCCAAGAACCAAAAGGGACCCTACTGCCCAAGCCCTCCTCCCCCAGAATCAATGGGACCCCCCCAAGACACCCCTAGGCTAAAGCCCCGCCCCCCCAACAGACCCCTCCCCTGAGAGCCCTGCGGCTGTGGTTGACCTCAGCGCCCCCTAGCGGAGCAACAGGGGATGCGCGCCCCTGACGGCGCGCGCTCCCACCGCGAGAGCGCGCATCTGGGGTGGCCGGGAGCGCGCAGCCACCCCTTGTCTAGAGTCGCCCCCCCCCGCTCCCCACTTGGTATCGCCCTGCTTCCCCTCGTAGCCACATGGTCTCTCCCCCGGCTCCCGACCCGCTTTGCCCCCAGCCCTTCACCTCACGCCGGCTTCGCCCAGGCCCCGACCCCGACTCCGCTGCCGTCCCAGCGGCCGTCCCCACGTGCTCAGGCTCGGCGCGGCGGGAACGCGTACGTGCGCGCTCACGGGGCGGGAGGGGGCGAGGCTGCTGGCGCCCGCACGCCACGTGTTTGTGGGTTTGGGTCGCGCCGCAGGTGGGGGGGCGAGTTGTGGGGTTTGGGGTCGCACCGCAAGGGGGCGGGAGGGGGAGGAGTTGTGGGGTTTGGGGTCGCACCGCAAAGGGGCGGGAGGGGGAGGAGTTGTGGGGTTTGGGGTCGCACCGCAAAGGGGGCGGGAGGGGGAGGAGTTGTGGGGTTTGGGGTCGCACTGGAAGTGTTGGGGGGGGTTGTGGGCTTTGGCATCATTGTGATGAAGATTTGTTTGTTTTGCTTTTTTCTGTTTGTAAAAACAAGACATTCTTTAGCCTGTATTTAGAAACAAATGCATGAAAGCCATCTGGATGCTCCAAGGTCCATCTCTGGATTTTGGCAGCACCGTAGTTCCTGCAAAGGTGCAAAATAATTATCAATTATTGGTAAATATCTTCCTCCTGGCTATAGATTGGCCAGACTTGCAGTTTTATTATCTAACAGTCTCCTTTGCCCTCTGTGCGGCAGCCTTTGCAAGGTGTAATGTGTTCAGATTTACCTGGATGTCTCTTCGTTGGTAGGAGGACTCCTGCCATTTATATGCATTTGAAGGATGTTGTTTTTATTTATTGTTGCAGTATACATGTTTCAGTGAAACATTTAAATTCTTGCCCTTTATTTAGTTTTTACTCTCCAATCATTCAACTAATTTACTCTTAATCCTGGCTTGCAGATAAATTAGTTTGACCAGGTCCTCAGATGCTAAGAAGTAATATTAGAGCCATCTGAGGAACTATCCGTAAAAACAGCAGACACCTGGTATGTTAAGTATTAGAGGGGTAGCCGTGTTAGTCTGGATCTGTAAAAAGCAACAGAGAGTCCTTTGGCACCTTTAGGACTAACAGATGTGACCATGCATTTATCCATGTTATAAAATAGGGCTAAGGTCCTATCTGCACTACACGTTGGCACAATTTTGGATCTGGGTTAGTGTTCCCCTTTGTTGCACCCAGTTTACATAACTGCCTATGTTTGTAACATAAATGGGCATGCTGAGTCTCCTGACTCCATTGTCGTGTATGGAATTTAGTGATGATAACCACTTATTGAGTTGGATCTACAGTAGGGATTTGCACCAGTGTAACTACATTGAGGTAGTCCTCGTGTAGACAGGGCTCTAATTAACAAAGCTGACATTTAAATTGCCACCCTTTGACTTCCTGCTAAACTGAGTTTACATGTCTGAGAGCAAGTGTTTAACAGATCATCTGCACGCTCTAGAAGATAGCACTGCATCAAATAACATTTGAGAGGTTTTTCCCCAAATCATAAAGGCTAGAAACATTTTATATTGCCAACATTAATCTCTGCAGAATTTTCTATTGCTCTAGGGGTCAGAGGAATGCATGAAGCAGTCTGCATGCTAAAAAGAATGACAGGAATGCTCAGATTTCAAAAGAGGGAGAGAAGCACCCATAAACTTTGGTGGTAAGAAGAAAGCAAGTTTGTTTTAATTAAATCTTTCAAACAAAAAAAACAATGATCCTTTCCAAGACACTGTCCTAGACCTGTGTATCCTTGCGTAAATGGAATAACAAGGAATTCAAGTTATTTTCCACGGAGTGACAACTGGTTTCCATGGATGACAGAATGACTATTACCAATTTAGCTGCAAAATGACCAATAATTCCTGCAAATATCTCATACACTGATGCATCACCCCTTCATGATAGACTCAGCCAGGACCCTCCCATAGGTAATCTAGAGAGGAGCCATGGAAGACTGTTGTGAGTATTACTCTTGGTACAGAAAAAGGTGTGAGGTGGAGAGTGAGAGAAGACTCCATTAGAAGAGAAGTTAAGAAGGAACGTGAGGAATGAGACAGGATATAGGATGATATGAAGGCGGATCTGTAGGTGGTAGGCAGTTATCCAAAGCCATGAGATGAAGATGAGGCATTGAGATTGTGGGTCATATTGTTCCTTCTCTCTGCTCAGCACAATTACTGCATTTGTTGTTTGAAGCTGCTTCCTTTCACAATTTGTCTAGAAGTTCCACATAATGTATAATAAAACTCCATCTCCTGTCAGCTCCAAAATTTTCCCAAATGTGTTTTTAGTGCATTTATAGTTCATTTTCATAGTTGTATAATACAGTTCGTGTAATGCACTTATTGCTAACCTCGGTTCTTTGGAACAAAATCTTTCCTGGTGTGACACTCCTAAGCTCAGTGGAGATATACCATGGAGGAATTTAATCTCCTCTTTCTGTAGTAGCCTATAAATAAGTTTCCTAAAATGATGAGATCATCTTTTCAGCTTCCCCTATCAGGGTTGCCAAAGCAGTAGAGAGAAACTTTGGCATTCACTTTCACTTGAGAAGGATTCCCAGGTTCCTCCATGCACCTTCCCCATCCATCTGCAATCTAGAGCCCCGGTGACTGCTTCCTAACGCTGTGTTTGTTGCACTCTGGTCATCTTTCTACTCACATGGCAACTGTGTATCTGTGTTGGATAGGAGGATGTTGGGGGCACCCAGTCAGAGGGATTTGCATCTTGTTTTGCAGAAAGCTGTGCGATTTAGAAGTGGTACAGCTAAGACCCCTTGTTGAATATGGTTACACATGCACCAGAAAGACTCCATAACTTATTGCTAAGGCTGTGTGTCGGTCACGGATTCCGTGACTTCTGCAGTGGCCAGTGTGCCTGGCTCAGTGGCTGCCTGAGCTTGGCAGCCCCTGGGCCAGCAGCAGCAGTTTGGGTGTGGGAGGGGGCTCAGGGCTGGGACAGAGGATTGGAGTGCGGGGTAGCACTTATCTCGAGGGAGGAGAAGGGGCTCTCTGGAAGCGGCTGGCATATCCCAGCAGCTCCGAGGCAGAGGGGGCTGGGGGCTCTGCGCGCTGCCCCTGACTGCAGGCACCGCCCCCACAGCTCCCATTGGCTGCAGTTTCTGGCCAATGGGAGCTGCGGAGCCAGCACTTGTGGCGGGGGCAGTGTGCAGAGCCCCCCCTGGCCTTCCCTCCCCCTACAAGTTGGTGAAACTACAGGGACATGCTGGCCGCTTCGGGGGAGCTGCATAGAGCCGGGTAGGGAGCCTGCCAGCCCCCGCAACACCTACCCTCTCCCCAGCTCCAGCCGGGGTCCGGGGCTGTGCGCCACCACCCACCTCACCCCAGCACCAGTGGGGGTCCCGGGCCACACCCTCGCCCTCTGACCCCCCCCTCCAGAGCACCTGTGGCCCCCCGGCCCAAGTTTTAGTTAGGGGTATATAGTACAAGTCATGGACAGGTCACGGGCCATGAATTTTTGTTTACTGCCTGTGACCTGTCCATGACTTTTACTAAAAATACCCAGGACTAAAACGTAGCCTTACTTATCGCCCATAACATGGTGGTATTCTAGTGGTGTGGCGCCATGACCACATTGGGAGCCTTTTCTGCAGCATCACTCTCTTCTGGATCAATCAGGTATATTTTTATTTATAGTGATTGCATCTGACACTAGAAGGTCTCTCAGAGATTAAGGCAAATTTGTGCAGATTATTTTTTTATATGCACATGTACATGATGCACTGATGGTTCTAACTAATATTTCATGCCTTTCAAATACATGGTTAAATTCTGATCATGCAATAAGCTCTGCAGAGAGGTCCACCTATTATCCGTAAGATACTACTAACCAGTAGTAATCGCCTATTCCAGACAACCCAAACCTCCTAAAAAACTTGTCATCATCACTGTTCAAATATGACATGTTTTTGTGCCTCTTTTGTGATGTTAATTTCGTTTGAAATTTTGTTTGTGCCCCTGTGGAGGATGCATGACGCTGATTTAGAAAGACAGAATCTAGATTGCTTGGAGGAAATGTTCTGTTGTTCACAACTAGGCTAGAAGGCCACTTTTATTCATTTTATGCAGATCTTTGGCATTTAATTATTTACATGAGAATTTGAGATGAAAGCTGTTCTCTTCTACAGGCTTCAGATGTTGCCTTCAGCCATTCATTTGTGAAACCTGAAGCTTGCATCCGAGATGAGTGAACTGCATACAGTTCAGAGATTCAGTTTGGGTCAACACCTGAAAGTTTGAATCCTTATCTGAACTGGAGATGAGCCCAATGTCAGAAGTTGAGTTCTGGATTAGAACCTTCACACAGTTTGTAGGATGGGGGGGAGGAGTTAGTTCCGGTGTTCTGGTTTGAGCCCATCTCTAATCCAAATCTCTTCTGAACTATTGGGGACTTTAAAACTTGGCTCGAAATCTTGCAAGTATCATATTTCAGGCAGAATTTAGTTTCTCCTGGTGCAGGCCAGAACAAGATAGTGCAGTTACACATGAAAATGTTGTGAACAAAACAGTTAACCAGTGTTTTGTTAAGTTAAAGATTTGTTTTGAGTGGTTTGGAGGCACAGCGGCACACTGCTGAGGCAGTGCTTTAACGTGGCTGTGTAGTCGCGGCACCAGCGCTGGGAGAGAGCTCTCCCGGTGCTGTAAAAAAGCCATCTCCGCGAGGGGAGTAGCTCCCAGTGCTGGGAACGCAGCTCCCAGTGCTGGGAACGCAGCTC